CTAAGGGCTATCGCACACAAATTGACATAACTGCATATGCATAGCATAAGATCATATGGACCAATGAGCATCGAATATTAAGCATCGAACACCAATATGGCGACTTAATACTGCATGCGCGCACCATGTGATCATCGTGTAAACATTTGGTGGTTGTGGTATTTTATATTGAATGCAGATAAAGAAGAAATTCGCTTTATCTTGAATGAATAAAGTAAGCGTATTATCCTATGTTTATTTGTTTAACTAATGAAGGTAACAAAAGGTAACATTTTATGGTTAAATTAGACAGATACTCCATCGCTTATAATAAGTGTTAATTTTTATAGATTTATACATTAATTTAATTAATTTAATTAAATCTTATAAAATAAGATAGATTTTTCTTTTTCTTAATTGTACTATTTTATAATTACTCAAAGTTTATCATTTTTTATGATTTTGTTTATTTAATAAGTTAACAAGAAAAATATTTACTATAAAAATTTAAAGGTAACAAAATGGAACGTACGGAGTTTTGTAGATCTCACCTCATTAGCTAAGAGTTAAATTAACAATAAAAGTACAAAAAATATAATTTTTATTGAAATTAAATCATTTTATTAAATCATATTATCAGAAAATTATATTACTGTGTTAATTACAATACATATAGACAAAATAGAAGACGTTCGATCGACGAAATGGTGTAGTGCCTAAAGCAATAGACTCATAATCCAGAGGTGCCTCAGGGGTGGTCCAAGTTTTCAAGTTTTTCCAATGAGAATTTTTAAATGTGATGTAATATTGGAATCAAGTAATTTAAAATTTTCAAGTAAAATCAGCAAACGCTGTGACATTTACAAATAGTTTCGAAATATTCCATTTACGAATAGTTTGAAAAAAGTAATACATATCATGTATAAAATAATTTATAAAGTATACATCTATTGTTCTATAAGTAATTCAAAATGAATATTTTTAGAAATTTGTGACGGCACGTTCTGCTCGATTTTTGCTGCGTTTTTGCTGTCACGTCGTGAGAGTAAATTCTGCTCGATTTCTGCCACGTTTCTGTTGTCACGCCGTGATGGCAGGGCGTGCTTTAATTTTACCGCGATTTTGTTATTACGTTGTGACGACACGTCCTGCTCGATTTTTGTTACGTTTTGCTGTCATACCATGAAAGCACAATGTACGTAAGTTTTGTTACATTTCTGCTGACACTTAGTGTTAGCAGTATATATTTGATTTTTACTGCATTTTTTTCGTTACATTATATTACCAGACTATGTTGTCAAAAACTAAGCTTAATGCGGACGCAGTGGATCGGAATCTGCTGAAAAGGCATGCATTTGTTGGCACTGTGCTAGCATAGTGCTATCATTTGGCTATCTGGGTAATGAGCAGTAAAGATATAATGCTTCTAGTACCAAAACGTTCAAAATGACTTAATTCTAATATTCATATAGTTATATTAAAATTTGCCCAAGTCTGGTGACCTAAATAGTAATTTAAATAATACTTCAGCAGCACGTATTAGTTGGCCAATCGTTGGTTGCTGTAGATTCTACATTGACCGCTATAGATTCAACATTAAAGAAATTATATGGGACTAAATTCGGTGAGTATAGATTCGGTGAATAATAAAATATAATATAATTGTTCTTTTTAAGATAGTCATATTAAAAACTATGTTAATCTCTTCGATACAATCGTTGTAAAGTGGACAATCTTCTAGCACTCACATACATCGAGCATCTGTAAATGACAACTTGATTTCATGTTATATTTCTTTTTGACAAATTTTGTTTAGGTTAAATCATATAATGAATAAAAATTTTTGCACAAATCAATAAAAAATCTATGTGATATTTTATACAAAGACTTCCGTGATTATTATGCAAGAATAAATGTCCTTGCTATTTTCGAACTTTCTTGTGATTTTTGACGACTCTACTAGGAAAGTTAATATAAGATAAACATAATATATCGCTTGGAATTCCTCTCTAACTCGTGCATTATTTCCTCTCATCTTTAAATGTATAATTTGCAATATAGTGTATTTACTCACGAATAAACTGTTTCTTTAAAATAGCAAGTAAGTCGTTAAAGATTACAAAGTAGTTACTTTTTTCATCCTTTTTTTACGAGATTAATTTACGATAGTTTAACATTTGATGGAAGTCGTAGAAGAATATCAGCTGCGGAACGTTCGCCATTATCCGTAGTACGACTGAAAGTTGGTAAGCGAAGGGGTGCTCCCCCATATATCAGGGGAGCGTCGCAACTCGTTGCTATTGGTCGAGCAAGCGTTTCTACAAGCTGCAGCTAGGTATTTGGCCCCCGGTAGCAACCCTCCCGAGGTTCACTCCGCATTGGCGTTGAAGCTATAACATAACCCCCTGGTCGTACCTAATAATATGTTTTACAGAGGCCGTCGTCCAGTATCTT